GTGGACATCCAAGGATAATCTATAATAAGATAGTGCTTATATAAAACAATTGTGTAGGTACGGAATTTCTAATATGGGGAAAAAATAAAGAATTTTAGAGTAGCTAAAGTTCTAAGCACTTGGGTAAAAAGAAAACGTACCTCAACTACGGGGCGAAACTCCTTGGTGTGCTCGGAGAAAAAGAAGAGAGATTTTCCGGGTGTTACAATCCTCCCCACCTTGGGTTCAATTTCGTCCTCGAAATTTCTGTTTATTGGAAAAGGCGAGGGTAGCGCTTCTTCAAATCCTCTTCCGCTTCCCACGTTATGTTAGACCCTCGGTGGTGTTTCCATTGTACTTTAACCATGACAATTTCCTTGTGTCTCAACACCTTAATCTTCCTTTCTAGGATGGCCTCCGGTTCCTCAACACACCGGTCGGCCTCGTCCACAAAAATTTTCGAAAGTGGAATAATACTCTCTTCTTCCGCTAAACACTTACGAAGGTAGCACACATGAAACGTGTTATGGATTCCGGCCATTTCTGGTGGCAGTTCTAATTTGTAAGCTTGAAGTCCCACCCTAGCCAAGACTTTAAACGGTCCAAGGAAGCGGGGGCTCAGTTTCCCACGCTTTCCAAAGCGGATAATTCCTTTCCACGGCGACACTTTTAACATTACGCGATCGCCCACTTGAAATTCTATCGGTCGACTTTTCTTGTCGGAGTAACTCTTCTGTCGGTCCTGTGCCGACTTTAGACGTTCCCGGATACCTTTCACCTTATCGGTGGTTTCTTGGATGATTTCGGGGCCGGTGAATTGTTTCTCACCCGCTTCGTGCCAGCAAACGGGGGTCCTACATTTTCGACCATATAAAGCCTCAAATGGTGTCATCCCTATACTGGAATGATAACTATTGTTGTAGGCGAACTCCACTAGTGGTAGGTGAGAATCCCAACTCCCGCCAAAATCGATAACGCACGATCTAAGCATATCCTCGAGCGTTTGGATGGTCCGCTCGCTTTGGCCATCCGTTTGAGGGTGATAGGCTATACTCAACTTCACCCTTGTCCCCAACTCTTTCTGTAAGCCGTTCCAGAAGCGGGAYGTRAATCGGCTATCTCGATCYGATACTATAGACAACGGTATACCGTGTCTTGAGACTATTTCGTCGATGTATAACTTGGCAAGTTTCTCCATGGGTAACGTTTCTCGCATTGCTAAGAAGTGAGCACTCTTTGTCAGCCGATCAACCACTACYCAAATCRTATCATGACTTCTTAAGGTCTTCGGTAATTTGGTCAYAAAGTCCATCGTAATATGTTCCCACTTCCATTCGGGAATCTCCAAGGATTGGAGACTACCATAAGGTCGTTGGTGCTCTGCTTTCACTTGCAGACATGTCACGCACCTCTCTACGTAACGAGCTACATCTAACTTCATAACAGGCCACCAGTATGTCAATTTCAAATCCCGGTACATCTTGGTGCTACCCGGGTGAACGGAGTATTTGGACTTGTGCGCATCATYTASTAATAGTTCACGATTTYCCCCAATCTTGGGTACCCATATACGACCTTGAAACAACTTCAAACCACGACCATCCTCCGTAAGAAGTATGTGTTGTTTCGCCATAACCTCGCCCTTGAGGTTTTTTTTTCCAAAAGTGCTTCAGGCTGTGCTACTTTGATCCGATCGATCAGACTGGACATAACCTCTATCCTGGTAAGTACGGATTTCGTTCCACTACCGTACTCCTTTCGGCTCAAAGCGTCCGCCACAACATTCGCCTTACCCGGGTGGTACAGTAACTCACAATCGTAGTCTTTAAGTAGTTCGAGCCAACGCCGTTGTCTCATGTTTAGTTCTTTTTGATCGAAAATGTACTTTAAACTTTTGTGATCAGTGAAAAACGTGCACTTGGTGCCATAGAGGTAATGCCGCCATAGCTTTAAGGCGAACACTACTGCGGCTAGTTCCAAATCGTGAGTGGGATAGTTCTTCTCGTGATCCTTGAGTTGTCTTGAGGCGTAGGCAAT